AGAAGAAGATGGACCATCAAACTCGGTTTCTTAATTTTTGAACATGAGAGCCATCAAAGAGCTAAGAGATCGATTGCACTTGTCTAATGTATCCATAATTGCGGCTAAGCGGCCGTGAGAATTCTCTTGGGATGGCTCAGGTAAAGTTGGTGAATCGTAATAATCGGGAGGTAGAATAGTTGTAGTCCGGAGGTAGAGGATTGTAGTATGGCGGCTCGTTGTAGCCCGGAGTACCGGAATCATATTCGGCTTGAGGCTCGATAAGAATGGCTCTGACCATACCCTTCAGATGTGAGAGTATCTGTCATAAGAATAAGAAGATGGATAGATCGGATACGAATGGGGTGGTTCACTATACAATGGGTACATCTCCTCTGGTAGTTATCAGAGTATCCACGAGACGAGCTTCCTATATTAAAATAACCATATAGGTCCATCAGAGCTCCTCACGCAAAATACCTCGCACAAGAACAACCAAGGCACACAATACCAAAAAAAAAAAGAAAAATACAAAATACAAGAAAAGCATAGGAACATAAATAACATGGAACAATATTCACAAAAGCACAAAACACAAATATCACAAAAATAGATAGAAAGATGAAAAATAATCAGGAGACTGATAATAAATCAATCAATTATCCTACTCGCCATCCCAACATGACGCGGTTTTGTTGAGTATATTCTTGGGTAAGAACTAATATTTTAGTCCAAAATCAATTCTTTGGTAAGAGACTGATAATAAATCAATCAATTCTCTTTATCTTTTTTTTCTTTTGATGAATCAAATTTTACCATAAAATGTTATACATTAATAAATAATATAAAAATATTATTCAAACCCTTTTTAAAATTAATACAACAACTTTTATTACAAGTATACATCATTATTAAAAATATTTAACTAGTTGGTACACCTAATGGTCCACCGTTTCAGAGTAGGAGCATTTTGTGTCAAATTAATATATGTGAAAAAATGAAGATTATGATATTTAATTGCCGTCGAATATATAAGCACAATAGATTAATTTTTAAATTTTATGTAACATTTCGCAAAAGCTCGTGATACTGGTGTATTAAATTCCCACCTCATTGTGACTCGTCAGATGAAAAATCTACGAAGTATTATCGGACAAGGTAACCAATTTTAGCTATAATGTATTGTTTTGCAACTAAACAACATAAATATGTATGAACCAAAAATACAAATTTGTGATTAAAGGACAAAGTAACACTTATTATGAGCTGTCTTGTCTTTTTGTTATGACCATTTAATTGTCCTCACTCTCAAATATTTTGTCATTCGATTTTTATAACTATAAATATTCAAATGTCAAAAAACACCAAATAGTATTTCAAACTTGAATATTAATCAAAATTGATATTTGACTGGTTTAAAATAGATCATATCCTATGCGCTATCCAGCTAATCGGACTGACTAAAGCAAAGCTCTTTTTTTTTTTTTATTATCCCCTTTATATATTAATTGAGAACGTGTTGAGCCTATGTGGCAGGCTCGCATGCTTCGGGATCCTATGTGGCAAAATTACATGCTTCGTTATTAGGCTTGGATAAGTTTGGATTATCTATAAATATGTTGATTATTTATGGTAGGGGTGAGCGCGGTCAGGAACGATCTTGGATTTGATTTGTCCGCATACTCATCCCACTTTTATGACGGGATGAGACACCGTCTCCACCCATGTAATACATGGGTGTTATACTAGTTATTATTATTCATCAGTTTGTTGAATCTTTAAGTCATATGTGCACAAAAAAAGTAATTTTTTTTTTTTAATCATTTTAACTTGCATAGTCATATTATTTGTGAATTTTGATTTCGCCCCATCTATTCACCTATAGATGAAGATGCAGAATTTCCACCTTTTTTTGATTAAAAAAACGAATCAATTAATTCCTATCTTTGGGTAACTGACATTTGATTGAAATTTGGACTTTAATCATGAAAGTGAAATTGAGATTAGGTGCAAAGGTTGATTGTATATCTCTAGGGTTTATTTTGGAGAACCCACCACCAAAATCCAACCAATTAAATTAACCAAGAATTTGGGGTGTTTTGTTCTATTGGTGCTTTTCTCAAATCATTTTGCTGCCCACTTGAGTGAAGACCCATAGAGTCGTGGACCACTTTCTATTTAAATTAGGGAGAAATTCACTTGTTTTCTCATACATCTAATATAATGGTGCATAAATAAATGATAGTGTCAGTATAATATTATGAAAAGTAAATTTTGGTTGAGAGTGAGGATATAAATTCGTGATTACAGTTATTTTATTGTATAACTAGTAGTCTTGATTATAATATATATTTTTATTTATTTTAAAAAAGAAAAGTAAAATGGAAGTTTTTATTTTAAAATTTTAAATACTTTTAAAAAATTGCATTATTTCTTAAGTTTAAAATAATATTGTTTCTCCGAAAGATTAATTCTTGTTATATTACAATAATATTTATAACTCATATTATCTATAGGTTTGATAGGGAAAAATATTGAATAGATAAATAACAAATTTTTTATTATTTTCAAATAGGATTGCTAGATAATTTAATTTTATTTATAAATATTGATATAAATATTTTATTTCAATATTAATGTAAAATTGAAGATAATTGGAACAAGATTAATTTGGTACATTATATACGAAAATTCATAAAATAAAAAGTTATTAATAAATCTTAAAATATATTTATAGGTTAAGTTGTACAAGTTTTTATAATTAAAAGTCGTATTGGGCATCAATAAAATTTCAAATCTATATATTATTACTCTAAAACACTATCAGAAATTAACACACATAATTATAAAATACCAGAACATATAGAATCACATTAGACCCTTAACCAAATCTATCATTTGGAAGGATTAAATTGTAGTGCTATTGAATGTTTGATTGTTTTCAAATGATTGATATATCCATGTTAATGATAATTACTGCACTCATGTTCGGTATATTTGTGATTCTCAATGTTCTTAAATAATACCATTATAAGCATCCAATTCAATATTGAGCATTTTTATAAACTATTAATTAATTCTGTCAGGGGCGGATTGGGAAAAATTTAATGGGGAGGCTGTAAACAATATAATTTTTAAAAACATCGTCCATTTCATATAATAGAAAAAATATGTACTTCCAAACTTTGCTAGCAATTAAAGTTGTTTAATTTTCTCAAGTTATGAAACATATTAATAGTTGACTCGAACTTGTACAAAATATGATGAGTAGAATCATTTATGATTGGATGGTCTCTTATAATAATTTATGATAAACTTGACGTGTATGTTAATTCCTTGGGTACCTTGGGATTATTTCTGAACATAAACAAACCAAATCCCTCCGAGATTCAATGTGTCAAATACTAGATGATAGAGGATCTTTCATTAGACACGACATAGTGAAAGTCAGAAATATAAATAAAATAAAAGCAAAAGGTTGACCCTATAATCCATTTTAAGACAAATAATAATAATTAAATTTTTTGGTTGAAGCATATACCTTATGTCACGGATTCAGTTTTTGTAAATTATCCATAACTCCTGTTTTTGGACTTGCGACTTGTGAGGCGTTTTATTATTATGTTACTAATATAATTTGCAACCTACTCATGTGCTTTTTTTTTTTTAATTATTTATTTCCCTTTTCTTTCATTTTCCTTTGTGTTGGATACGGACATATGGCAGACATCTTACGGATATAAATTCAACAATTACATTAGAAGATTTGAAATGACAATATTTTACACGTATTCGAAATCATAAATAAAAAATCTCANGACTCTCTCTCTCCTCTCTCCATAATTCCTCCTCTCTCTCTCTTCTCTTTCCATAATTCCTCCTCTCCATATCTAAAAATTCCGGTAACATTCCGGTGAAATTACGACAACATATCAAAAATATTAGTCTAAAAGGTATGTTTATAATTTATCATGTTTTTTCTAAATTTTTCTGAAAAAATTTAAAGAACACAATCTTGAAGATAATGAAAAATAAATAAATAAAACAACAAAAAAACAAAATCGTCAATTTCTGTGCCCCAGAAATCGTTTCTGGTCCCAGAAATCCTAAAAATCCCATAAACGATTTATGGGACCGGAATGATTTCTGATTGCAGAAATCGATTTCTTGGACCCCAGAAAGCAATAATCGATTTATGGACCCCAGAGATCCTAGAAACGATTTTTGAACCCTAGAAACGATTTCTGGACCCCAGAAATCCCAAAAACGATTTTTGGAATTAGTTGCTGCTCAAGGTCAACCATTTTATCCATATGGTGTTACCGTTCCATCTCTTGCGAACTTCAATTGGCAAAGCAACCCAAATATTGGTTTTGATCATAATATTGGGCAAGATGATTATAATCCAAATCAATCTCGGAATATAGTGCAAGATTCCACTCGTCGAGATGTTGAAAGTAATTTTTCTAACCATGTTAACTGGGATGAAGATAGTATATTTGATGGTGAGGATGATGGTCGGTATTATGATAATTTGAATGAAGAAGCGAACGTCCACGAGAATGATAGCAAAAATGAGGACGAGACTGAGCAACTCGAGCAGGATAATAAAAATGAGGACATCAATGATGGTCGGGATTATGATGATTTCAATGGAGAAGCGAACGTACACGAGAATGATAGCGAAAATGATGACGAGATTGAGCAACTCGAGAAGGATAATGAAAATGAGGACATCATTCGGAGGAAGAGTGTTAATATTCATAATGTGCCACCACTTAACCTTTCCCAAAATGAAACTCCTAATGAAGATGCATTCAATGAATCTACTTTTCGTTGGAGAAATGCTTGAATGGTTCCTGAAGTAACTTATCATTTTTCAAATGTGCAAACTCGGGTCCAAGAGCCTCCTCCTAACAAAAATCTAAATTGTAAAAAATAATAGTAAAAAGCAATGTATAAAAATAGTTGAACCAAACCCCAAATTTAAAATCCCCACTAACAAAAAATTCCCATGTGACAAGAAGTTCAATTCAGATTTATGAAGAGTTATTATTACTATTATTAATATTATTTCATCTCTTAAACATAAATGCTCTTAAAACATTAAATCTAAAAGCGCCAAGAAATATCATTTTCCTTCACCTAACAAAATATACATAAAAATTACAATTCACTCTTGTACCAATATCCAATCCAAGCTTCCCCCTTAAGTATACATAAAATAAAAACCCACGTTAAATAGAAAATATATTATTTCAGCCAACAAAATCATGCATAATCTGTTGCCCGGCCCATTTTGGTGAAGGCCCAGATTGACGGGTCCATAAATCCGGAACCAAACGGCCTCTGCTGGCTGTAAGAGACCTTTCCGGAACTTTCGAGCCTCTGAGTTTCATTTCTTTCGGAATTTGTTTTCCCGTGAGATTTTGACGCGAACTGCAGTTGATCTGTTATGGCAGTTTTTAGACATCTGAAGTGTTTGGACATTGACTTTAAGGCTAGGATAGCAAAAGGTGCTGCATTGCTTAAACCGGCAACTGACTCGAATGCAGCAATTGCTGCCTGCATTTGTTGGTAATATTGCTTGTACCTCTTGTAAACCTTAAAAAAAGAAAAAGAAAAATATATAAGGAAAGAGATAAGTTTACCAATCTACCTAAATGGGAAAAGGAAAATCTTGTTGCAAAGTTAAACTAGTGAATTAAGGATCACAAACATTGACTAAACCTTGTGAATCACTTGAGTTACAAAAAAATAAATAAATACATAGAATCTAAATTCTTGAGAACAATTGTTGCCCAATTCCATAGATTGTGTTTGGTAAGCATAAAAGCTAGCTTATATCTTATTTGGTTAGCTTAAAAGATTTTTGTACTCAAATAAGCTTAGTTTCATGGGACGAATTTTTGTAAAAAGCTCGAGCTTATCTTATGAGCTTCCTTAAATAACTTTTCAAATAAGCCAATTGAATTTTTTATTTCAGCTAATTTTACTAAACACTTTCATCGTATAAGCTAGTTTCTCCATGCGTAAACCTACTGAAGGAAGTGTATTCAATAGTGTTTAATTTGACAAGAAATGATCGATAAAGACGCCTCAAAATTCTAAATGTCCGATAGCTTCGAACCCTAGAGATTTGGAATGAAGTCAAAGAGTGTATATTATCATTGAGAGTACTTTCAGCATCCATACAAGACAACTAGACAAGTCAATTAAATGATAGGCAACTAAAATGTAAAAATATCAAATATCACTATAGTATGTATAAAAAAACCTAGCTACCTTCAGGTACGAACATCTTAGTACCAACAAACATTGAACTACCATAATTATGAAATCCATATTAGAGTTGTTAGTAGCATTTATGACAGGTTCATGAAAATATAGCATATGCAAAAACCAGGGAAGTGGGGTTTTAAATAAAAGGTGAAAAGTAGATTATAAAAGAGAATTGTGTTTTGGATACTTTGATAACAAGTTTTCAGAGAGAATACGTTGCACAATGTAAAATTAAAGAGTGATGCATTAGTAGAAAAATAAAATGAAGTCATATCACATATGTAATGTACCATTTGCTTTAGGGAAGATATGAGACATGAAATTATACTCACTGCCACAAGTTAATTCAATAGCTCCAATTGCTAGCTCTCTAAATAATCAAGTTAGATGCAAAAAAAGTGCTGAAATTTTGCATAACTCAACCTAAACATGCTTACTGAGGGGCTCATTAACCACAACCATGAAATATTAACAACGTTTAGTAAGTGGGAACACAACGAATCACATTCTCCCACTTGAAAGGGAAAAAGAACATGAAAACCCAATAATTAAGTACATCTTTAGTATATTTTTCGGCAGGCATATATATATATATATATATATATAGGCTCTGATCAAATTCAAGCTGCACACATTTTCTGCAGAATAAACCTTTTCAACAGATTCTCCCAAAATATATATAACTTTACACAAGATGCAAACTAATCAAACTCATAACTCCCCACTTATATGTTGCCACACAATACGAACCAATCCTATTGCAAAAATATTCCTTACCATTCAGAGTTTCAAATTATAAGAAATTACATTACTAATGAAAAATGTGTCCCCATACCATACTTTTCGACAAATATGCATAATTTTCAAATTGAAACTTCATAAG